AACTCACTTTTCCTTTCCGTACGCAGCAACGTGGTCATTGCCTTGCGGGGGCAGTTGGTAGGCAGGCCATATTTCATGGACCGGCGTGAAAGCTACGGTAACAGTGCTCTTGCACTGCACAGTACCTACGCAAACAAAAGAAGAACTAGTTCAAACTCAACTCGCAGCGGGCTGCTAAGCAGTTGAGTTGTGGAGTGCATGCAAAGCAACAAAAGTATGATGATTGAGCAGCAAGACATACAGCCTAAGGCGTAGCTACTGCACACACGCTCAAGCTCACTTTCAGCTCACTCCGGCACTGTTCGTCGCTAGCAGCGGAACTCTTTGCGAGACGGCGCTTGCTGCAGGAGGGCTTCGGGCTTTGGGCTTAGGGAGTACTTAGAGGCTACAGGTGGGGCAAAGGGGCGGAGTCTGTGGCAGTGCTGCGACGCCTGTTGCAGCAAACGGCAGGCTTCACTGACACAAAGAACACGGAAGCTACTCTGGTGGGTTTACCCCCCACACACAAGTGAGTGCAGCAGAGCAGCGCCCATGTGAGTACCAAGCAAAACTACGGCACCTGCGTGAGAAGACTTACAGCCAAAGACGTAGCTACTGCACACACGTTCAAACTCACTTTCAGCTCACTCCGGCACTGTTCGTCGCTAGCAGCGGAACTCTTTGCGAGACGGCGCTTGCTGCAGGAGGGCTTTGAGCTTAGGGAGTATTCAGAGGTTACAGGTGGGGCAGAGGGGCGGAGTCAGTGGCAGTGCTGCGACGCCTGTTGCAGCAAACGGCAGGCTTCACTGACACAAAGAACATGGAAGCTACTCTGGTGGGTTTACCCCCCACACACAAGTGAGTGCAGCAGAGCAGCGCCCATGTGAGTACCAAGCAAAACTACGGTACCTGCATGAGCATACATAAAATGTTACTCCGGTGGGTTTGCCCCCCACACACAAGCGAGTGCAGCGGAGTAACATGTATTACAAGAACCAAGAGGACTACAACAGACACTACGATCAAGATTAGCGGCCTAAGAAAAGGTAGCAGCTGTTTCAGTTGTTGAGAAGCTCAGTGCAGGTAACGTACCTACTCGTCCCAAAACCAAAACCAAAGCTGAACAACGATGGCGTATTAGGGCTGTACGGCACGAAGGCATACCATGTAACAGTTGGCTTCAATCCAGGGCATCTGACTGGCCTTGACCGGCTTAGCGGCCGTGCCATCGTTGCTCAAGAGAAGCGCAGCAGGCTCACCGGCTGTGGCCAACGCACACTGGTAGTGACCTGAGTGCACGGAGTCGCCTTCGTGTACGACCGTGTAGCACAGCTTGTAAGCAACCGACTCTGTAGTGAGCGAGTCAGAGACGAAACGTGGCACCAGGATCCTAGCATTAGGGCTTAGGGTAATTAGGGTGTTGAGTTTAGTGATTGCTGCTCCATCACGCCTGTAACGCTTCAGCTGCAGGAGCAAAAACCGTGGTGCTCGCGTAAGCGCAAAAGTGGCCTCTTGATGATGCCAGGCTTCAACGAGTGCTTGCAGAGACGCGGTAGACTCAGGGACTGTCAGAGGCAGTGAGGGCGGGACAAAACCTCGATCCCGGCATTCAGTGCCGCTTCCATCATTGAGCCTGGCTTCCCAGGCACCTTGGAATGCAGGTGGCAGCAATCTTTCCAGCAAGAAGTCTGAAAACTCGGCTGCGTCTTGCTGTTGGGACAGGTTGCGCCAACCCTGCAGAAGACTGGCCCAGTTGAAAAGGCCTGGCACGTAAACGGGCTTGCGCGCGGTGCCCGTGGTGAGGGCCCTGAAAGCCGAGGCACGCGCACCAAAACAGTCTGCGGGTTGATCTGCAATCTCACCTGCCCAAAGGAGGCCAGTGAGAGATGCATTCAGGTAACAGACGTTGTGCGGGTTGCGCAGGTAAACAGGAGTCGGCCTCAGCTTCGGTTCTCGGTGGAGGCTCGGCCCCAGGAGCTGCTGCTGTGCGGGTTGGTCGCTTGGAGGAGATTGCTGGCTTCGCGCTGGAGCGCTTGTGCCAGCGGCTGGCGGCGGAGTCTCTCCTTGGCGAATCTCGTGCGCATGAGCTGGGTGGCATTGCAATCCGTCAGGAGCTCCATCGTTGAGAAGAGCTGATCCGCCTCGGCGCTCCGGTTGCTGACGAGCATCAGGAACGTGAGGATGTTGGCCTCGTACTCGAGCGCGAGGGGTCTCGTCGCCCTGAATCGATGAATCAAATTCGAGTTGCCGAGAAGCGTCAGGCTGCGCGCCACCGCATCGAGGACCTTCGAGTGGGTGACCGGTGGTTTGCTGGTGTCCAAGATGCTCTCCCGTTTGGCGGCATCCCACTTCGCGTACGTCCAGCAGGGCGGTGCGCCCGGTGTCTCCTGCAGCCAGCCGGCTTTCACAGAGGTCTCCTTGTTGTTCGGCTCCAAGGCGTGGCGAAGTCGCTCGTGGAACTCGGTCATGTAGGCCAGCAGCAGGGTGGAGCGGAGGGACAGGTCCAGCTTCGTCGGCGTTTCCTCCTTGACCTTCTGCCATTTCTGCGCGATGGCAAAGAAGTGGTTGGTGAACGGCTGGTAGGGGCCCGACGCTATGTTCAGGTCCGGCTTCGTCTCCATGTACAGTAGGAAGGCACTGTCGGCGCGTGTGGCCGCGAGGTCGTCCTCCTGGCGCAGGCAAAGGCGGGTCAAGAGGGCCATCAGGCGGCGGACTTCCTCTCCAGAAACCTGGTCGGTCAGCCGGTCGTACTTCTGGTCCGAGCTCTTGGACAGGTTCCAGCTCCGACCGTCGTCGCGTGGGCGTTTGTCCAGCTGGTGGCCCCTCCCTTTGCCCGCCTGCTTCGGCCACTTCTGGCGTCGGTCGTCCAACGGAGACTGTTGGTCCTGGTCCTCTTTCTGCTCCAGCTCCATCTCCGCTGCGAACGAAGGCAAGCTCGACCCGAAGAGCTCCTTGACTTGCTCTGCTGGCGTGGTCATGCTGAGACCTGTCAGCGATAAGATCTGATTGCACACTGAGGCGGTTCAGGAGACATGCCTGGTAGTAGGCAGTACAGGAATGCGTGTGGAGCGCGCCTTTCTGAGCACCTGTTGGCACGAACTTGCAGGCTCTGCAGGGCCCCCTGTACTTGAGCCGGTGGTGTTGCTTGATTTCAGAGAGAAGGTCAGAGTTAAAAGTCCAGAGGTCAGGGTGGGCTCGGCGTAAGTGCGATTTGAAGCCGCCGCGGTCTGGCGAACACCATTGAGTGCAGATCACACAATACTGTTTGAGACTTTCACCCTCGGTTTCAGCAAAGGCAACCCAGTTCTCACGGCAGGCTCGCAGTACCTCGGGCTGTTGGCTCATGGGGGAATTATAGGCAGCATTACTCTGTGAGGCGGGTAGCGGGCTCGCAGGCGTTGCCGTGGGAACCTCGGGCGGGCTCCGAGTAGGTACAGCAAGTGCAGCATCAGCCGACTCAGGCCCCGCAGCGGGCTGCTCAGCAGGCCCGGCGGCTAAAGCTGTGGTCAAAACCGGTTGGGCTTCCGCCACGGGTTCTTCGGGCGCGGGTGTTATGTGTTGTACATGAGGCTGGGGTGTGTCTGCGGTCGGCGTGGCGGCATGCAGAACCGGGCACGCCGACAAAATGTGGCCCTTGAAACCGCTCCACTTGCGAAAAGCGTATCCACAGTGCTTACACGTCGGTAATCCATCAATGCTATGTTGGGCAATGTCTACTTCTTGGCGGGCCTTCCCTAGCTGAAGATCTGACCTAACAAAGCTGATTTTATGCGAGCGCGCACAGTGGGTTCGCATCGCATGCTGGCTATCAAAAGTTTTGTCACAATGTGGGCATGGGAAGTTGGCTTGTGTAGGGTGTACAGGTTTGTGGGAGGTTTGTGTGGAGGTGGGGTGAAGGTAGGACTGGTACACAGTGGACTGCCAATTGATGTCTTCGGTAAGGCCGGGGTAACTAGGCCTATCACGGGCAAGCGTGTCAAGTCTACGCTTTGATGCCTCAAGCAAGAAGGAGGGAATGCCGGTGTACGCAAACCGTCGGTAAATGACGTCAATGGACTCATTGTCTTCTTTCCGGGGGTTTCCCGTGATGCACCGCACGTGCTTGGATTCCAAACTGCTGAGGCGTTTGAGGGCTCGGGGCGAGGTGCCAACAACGGCTAAGCCATGACTCATGGTGCTGCGTATGCATGTGCGGTACACACGAAGCCGATGCTGTACGCTGAGGCCTTGCCGCTTGAAGAGGACCCGACTTAGGCGGGCCACCGCCACCTTCGCCTGTCGAATGCGCAGGTCCGCAGTTTGCGTTTCAAATGCGTCAAAAGACATGACTGTGCCTAGGTAGGGAATGGTGTTGGCAAGGGCAACATCAATCGGTTGAAAAGGCGTGCCCAGTCGAATGAATTTCTGGTCATGGCGCCTGAAAGTGCGCGCTTTGACCCATTTTGCAAGGGTACTGCCAGAGGAGCGAAGTAGTAGTAAGGATTTGTCGGGATTGACATGCATCCCCGCCTCTTGCAGGACGGCGAAAAGGCAACCGACTCGAACACACATGGCAGCTAGGTCTTGTTTACAATCCAGGTCAAAAGATGCCAAGAAATCGTCGGCAAAGGCCGTGACGGCATGCTCAATCCACTGAGTCGGAGATCCAAGGCTCGGGAATTGTGCGAGGCGTTCCTCAAGCTGGTGCAGCATGTAATGTGTGACACAGACCCACAAGGTGGGTGATAATGTGCATCCTTGCCGTATGCCGTTGCGAAGATGAATCGAACCACTATGCCCCTTGTGCGCAACATGGTACAGTGTATGGTGTAATGCTAGCACCAGCTGTATGGTGTCCTCGCCTATGCCCAAGTGGCGCAACGAAGATGCCAGGTACGCATGGTTCACATAATCAAAAGCTTTACTCATGTCGATGCTCAACAAGCCTCCTCCTGTGATGGGGGAACGGGTTTTGCCAGCTTTACGGTCACGGACCTCGACACGAGACTGCTTCAGCTTGTCGCGTACGGCTGCACAGAAACGGGCTGCGCGGCTAATGGCGCTAGCCGTGCTGCGCGCTGGCAAGTACGCAAACTGGGGTGTGCATGCGAGCTTCTCGAGAATCTCAGCCTGAATGCGGGTTTTGATAACACGTGCTATGCACTTCCCCAGCGGGTCTTGCAAAGCAATTGGGCGGAGATTGGCTGCGCAGTTTGGGGGTTTATGTGGTTTCGGGAGCGGCTTTAGCCAACAATCCGTCCAAGTGCTATGGATGTTCAGCGGCCCTGGGGAGAGGCAAGTATTGATCAACGGGAGTACGTGACGAGACAGGACAGGGGCCAGGGACTTCCAAAGTTCAGGTGGGGCTGATCCCGGTGGGAACGCCCGCCCACTGCGCTGCTTGGACATGGCAGTTAAAAGCTCCTCGAGGGAAAAATCATGAGCATGTTGCAGTGCACAGGTTGGCCGGGGGCAGGCAGCATCACGGCTAAAGACACCGGTGTAGTACTGAAGAATGGCTTGATGTTCGGCTTCAGGTGAGATGAGCTTACCATCAGATGAGCGTATGTGTATGCTTTCGCGGGGCCCCTTGGGAGAAAGCCTACGGATGTGGTAGTACAGTTTGTGCATGTCACCGGCTTGCGCTGCAATCTCAGCCGCCTCGAGCTCAACAAGAACTTTAGCTTTACGATTAGCAAGACCCTGCTTACGTAGAGCTTTCTGGATTTCCTTGAACTTGGCATGAGCTCGTAATGTTGCCGAGGTGTTTTGCAACCCTGTCAGTGTTGGGTCCCCGGCGCGAGCGGTCTTGTATTCCTGATATGCAGCCCACATGTGCCTTACTGTGTGCCTCACCTGGGTGCGCCCTGACTCTACTGTGTTGTGGTCAGCTCTGTGGGGGCCCGGCTGGCAGGGAAAAAGGTGCTCACAGTGCCGCAGAAGAGCAGCATTAACATCATCCGGTGAGGTCGGCCTGGCATGGCAGAGATCATGGTCCACATCGAGGGCAAGCTGCTCAAGCACGGGATCCTTGCGTCGGATAGCGTCCAGGAGAAGGGTCCTGGAGAAGGTTCGGGCGGGGGTAGTGCGGGCGGGGGGAGGAGCAAAACGGGTATCGAGGCGCAGGGTTGCGACGACAGCAAAGTGCCGACCTCCGCCGCGCCACGGCGCAAAGTTGATTGCACGATCAGTGTGGGCTCGCCTGGCATGCGCATCGGATTGAGGCAGAGAGGCAAAAATGTAGTCGATCTGGCTCCTCTTCGGGCACTGGCCGTCGAGGCAATAGGTGTAGGCTGCCTTGCGGGGACCCCAAGTGTTTAGGGCACAAAGGTTAGCGGCTAACATGGCCTGTGCGAAGTCAACGGAGTCAGGGTAAACGAAATCCGAGGCGTGCAGCCCTGTGCCGATGTGCCGTGGATGGGCCTTCAACGAGCAGTTGAAGTCGCCGGCTATGCACTTGACATTTCTTGCTGGCAAGCCTTGCACAAAGGAGTTGAGCCTCCGCCAGAAGGAGTGTCGCTTGTCAAGCCTCTGTTTGGCGGGATCTGCGTCCCATGCCCACTGATAGCAACATGCGACATCGACATGACGAGCCTGTCGACCTTGACCCACTGGGAACCTAACATGCAAAAGGCGACCAGGAACAACAGTGCAATGCTGAAGTGAGCTGGCGGCTGCAACACGATGGGAGACCAGAGCAGCAACTCCTGCCCAGCGGTGGCTAGGGTCAGGCGAGCTGATAACGGTCCATCCCGGCAGCTGGTACTCACTGGGCTCCTTCCCTAAACCAAAATGCGTTTCCTGCAGGAGGAGAAGGTCAAAGCGGTGACCGTTGTCCTCGAGCCACACTTTGAAGGTGTCGTATGATGCAGTACAAAAACCTCCTATGTTGTAAGAGCAGACCCTGAGCCGTTGACCTGAAGCCGTAAGCCGTGAAGAACCACGGTTCGGCGCAGACGACTGGCCTTGCAATGGGCGCTGTGTGCAGCCGAGGCTGGCTGCTGTACAAAGCCTACCTCGATAAATGGTGGTGCCTTCTGTGGAGGCAAGTGCTCGTCGGCAAGCGCGCCTGTATGCACGCTTTCTGTTCTTAATTCGGGGAGATGGGAATG